CTCATCAGATTGCCTCAATTAGAATTCATTTACAAAACTGCTGCTTTAGTAGAGGCATCAGTTGTTTTGGGGACAATTCTTGGGGGTGGATCTGAAAATCAAGTTGAAAAATTAAGAACATTTGCAAGGAAAACTGGGTTGTTGTTCCACGTTGTCAATAATATATTGGATGCAACGAAATTCTCAGAAGAATTGGGAAAAACTGCAGGAAAAGATTTGGTGGCCGATAAGGCAACTTATCCCAAATTGTTGGGATTGGATCAGTCTAGAGAGTTTGCTGAGAAATTGAATGAAGAGGCTAAAGAACAATTGGCCGAATTTGATTTGGACTAGGCAACTCCAGTATTGCTTTGGCCGATTACATTGCTCATAGGCAGAACTAGAATGATGCTGAGAATTCTTGAAATGGAGTTTTACAATTTTCAGCTTACATGTTTGTTTGTTGTACCAATATCAAAATCCGAGTTTACTGAGAATATGGTTAGTGTTTGGTAATAATTCTTGGATTTTAGGTGATATGCTTTTGTATAAAGAGGTATAGCGTTGCAATATTTGTGGACAATGAGCAACAACATTGCATTTTCGTTGTGGATTTTTTGGTCCAGCACAAGTAGTATGTCTATAGCAGATTCACCTTTTAAGCTCATGGCCATGTTTTATTGTGGCTGTCTTGGTCATTATAAATTAATATAACTCCAACCTAGGGATGGCAAAAAGGTTTGCGGGCTCGGGCAGCCCATGGCTAGGCCCACAAAAAAGCTCTAGCCTGCTCAGGCCGAGCCCCATCTGGGAGTGTCGAGCCAACCCATGTGGCTCATGGGCCGACTCGAAAAAAAAGGTTGCATAAGGTAGCGCCGCCTTTAAACATAAGCAACTACCAGTGCCTTTTAAAGGAAAAAAAATGGGGAAAAAAAATTGAGTCGACTCGGCTCGAGCCGAAAGCTCGGGTTGAGCCTCAATTTTTTGACTTAGCTTTTGCTCAGCTCGAGTCGAGCTCGAGCCTCGATTTTCGGCTCAACTCATTGACACCCCTGATCCAATCTCAACAGCTTTCTGCATTGCTTTGTCTAGATTTATAATAATGGCACACGGTACATGCTTAGATATACATGCTAGCCAAGTACGAAACAACCAAATAAAGGTATCGGTGTCCTTACTCGATAGTAACCCACATCTAAATAAAATTGAATAGCATGGTGATTTACACCGACAAAAGATGCAAAGGATATGCAATACTTATTTGTCAAGGAGGTCGTGTCAAATGTAACCACATCTCCAAATTCTTCAAAAGCTGCCACATTCCTTGCATCAGCCCATAATAAATTCCTAATTCGAGCATTATCATTCACAACTATCATATAAAAGAAGCACGAATTCTTTACTTGCATCCAAACAAAAAAAAATTGTGGATTGCTAGAACATCACTAACACCAAGTTGTAATTTCTCTTCCTTTTATCAATATAATTTTTACAATCTTTCTCAAAAAATGGGATATTATCGTGACCACCAGCTTCCATAACACATTATTGATAATTCTTCGCCCATTCCCAGCTCGATCATATAATTCAAGCTATGAAGTTCTATGGAGTAACCTCAAGCCCAAAGGCCTCGAAAAAGGGTCATTGACATTGAGTTTATGAAGTGTGATTTGCAAGACCAAAGGTGAAACATGATTTATATTGAGGTGTCATGCCAAATGACGAACAGTAGGTCTGAAGACGAAGTGACGATATTGCTGAGAAAGTCTCAGTGCTCACTAAGAGATAGAGCTAAATCCTCCGAATTGAAGGTCAAGTTCAAGGATGACATATTTTGACATTATAAAATAATATTATTCTACAAATGTTATCGATTGATATTAATAAATGAGGTTCAATGAGAGATGGCTGACAAATCATAATATTTCGATTGAAAAATTATTATCCGAGACAAATTTTTTAAGATAAATACCTTATATAACTTAAGGGGAGTGTATTCAATTGAGACTTTTGATAACTTTTTAAGATTTAAAAAGTTTAGAGGTATTCAATTAAAACTTTTTAAGATTCTCTAAAAGTCACGGTGTATTCAATTGAGACTTTAAAAACTTTTAAAAAGTCTTTAAAAATTACGGTGTATTCAGTTAAAACTTTTTAGAAGTCTCTATAAGTTTTAGGGTATTCAAATTTTAATGATTTCTAAAAACTTTTATAAAAGTCTTTGGAGTACTAACTTATAAGTAGAAAGTACTCATATAAAATTTTAAAATTTGTCTATCATTAATAAAAATCAAATTTTCTTTCCTTTAACCTTCTATGGACATGTATGATTAAAATTTATTTTTTTAATTGATTATATTTCATTTATCTTTCTTTCCCTCTCTTATTATTTATCTCTATTTTCTATGAAAAATTAAATTATATTCTTGTAACTTTTTTTTCTTTTTTAATTCATTTTTTTATGAAAAATATCTATTTTTTAATTAAATTATAAAACTTTATATGAAAAATTATAATGAAATTTAAATATATTGATTTTTATTTATTTTTAAAAGTTACTATACTAATAATATTGAATTATATATAATTATTATTATTATTTATTTAATTAAGGTCTTAAATTTAATTTTTTTTCAAATTTTTTTTATTATATAGGAAGAAGAAGAGGAATTGTGGGAACTAACACCTTATATGTGAGAATTTCATACCAGATTTGCATGAATTCTATTTCAAATAAAAGTTTTCAAAAGTCTTTTAAATTCTACAAAAGTCTATAAAAATTTTAAAATGAAAATTCATAGAAGCCTATTAAAGACTTCCACTAATTCCATACAAATCTATAAAGAGAAAATTATCTAGAAACCTACAATTATAAACCAATTATCATAAATAAATTAAATTAGTTTAGATTTCAAATATCAGGTGGCAATTAGGATTTATTAAATATAATTAAAATCTAATAAACACCCCTAACCCCAACTCATCTACGCCCTAATAAATTTTCCCCATTCTCTATTATCTCTCTTCCCTTTCTAGCCACTGTCTCTCCATATCCTGGCGTCATTTTTCTAAAGATTCAAAGCCCCTGATATTTCGGCGTCGGTGCAAGCAACAAGGCACCGCTACTAGCTCCTTTTCGTCGGAAGACCAAGCAACGCCCACCACTATGTAAATGTCGGCGTCGTCGCTGATGATATGGTGAAAGGGGCGAAAGGGCACTACTAATCTGGGCAACAAATAGGGGCTAAGATCTGAAGCAACCACTCATTTCTACTGGGAATGATGAAGAAACTGAAAAAGAAATTCAATTCAACGATCAATTCATCTTTCACCGTCGACGAAAATGACATTCCTATGATCACCGGAGTTAAAATCTTCTTTGAACAGTTATGGATTGAGTCCAGAAAGCTTTGGTACCTTGCTGCTTTGGCTATTTTCACTTCCATTTGTCAATACACCTTGGGCATCATTAAGCAAACCTTAGTAGGCCACGTCGGCATGCTCAAGCTTACTGCATTCTCGATTGAAAACTTAGTCACAGCCGGTTTCTCTCTTGGGGTAATGGTGTTTGTGTTGGTTGTGGTTTTTGGCAATCTGTTGATCTGATTGGCAGTGGTGGGAATGGTTACTAGCAACAAAAGTGGTTGTCGGTGAGAGGGAGTGATTGTTGTGGTAAGGTTTTGCGATTGACGTGAGCTTCGCTTAGCTGTTGGAGTTTTTGTTGGTTATGTGGGTTTTGTTGGTCTCGATTTGGGAAACTTTGGTTACGATCTAATGCTGAAAATTTTGGGGGTGAGCTTTGTTCTTTGTGTGTAGTTGACGATGGTAGCCCAGGCTATGATGGTGGTGGTTGTGTTGGTGGTGGTCATGAGGTGCCAATGGTTCCATTGTTGGTTACATGTGGTTATGGTGATGTGGCGTACGTTTGGTTTCCGGTGTTGGGAATGGTGGTGAGTGACCAAACCTATCTTCATTGTGACTGCCTGTGACCAGATTTGTGTCAACTGTGACCCAATGTAACTTGGTTACATATAGTCACAAATTAGATTAACTTGGTTACAAACAGTCACACTGAAGACAATTTTGGTCATGAACACATAAGGTCACAGCTCATTCGTCACTGGTCACAATTCGCCGTTAAGGTCACTGTTCATTGTTCACAGGTTTGAGTTCACAAGTTCATGGTCAGTATAAAGGGGTCACAGATCAATATTAACAGGCCACATGCCATTTTGTAGAAGTCAAAGATCAAATTTATAGGTCACATTTTATATTATGAGTCACGGGTAACAAATCATAGGTTGAAAATCATATTTTATATGTCACCCAGTAGAAGAAAAAAAAAATATTTTTGAATTTAACATTTTTAATTACAAATTTTTTTGATTAATTATTTCATAACTAAAATTTTAATAGTATTTGATTTTTGAAATTCAAACTTTATTTTCTTAATTTTGAAATTGATCATATGCATATTCATCTTATCTGATTAGGTCACAGATTCAATAAAATTGGTCAAAGATCACAATGTGCACATGTCACAGATCTAATGGAATTAGTCATAGTTCATTGCCAAAAAAAAAGAAAAAAGGTAGTCGCCGGAACGGTCGTCGAAATTGTAGTCGGAGCCATCGCCGGAGCAATCGTCGGAATATTTGTCGAAATTGTTGCCGGAGCCATTGCCGGAAGTGAAGTGGGGTGG